TCATTAGACTACTAAAAAGCTCACCCATCAGGTTTCTTCTCCCTCACTGAAATAAAATCTAGAGCTTCAGACCAAGTGAACTCGACGTGAAAGCCAAGCACGATATCCACAAATATGTGCGTAGTGTCTGGCCTGTTCGAAATAAGTAATGACAGTATAGAGAAATAAAGCAAGAAAACAGGTTCAAAATACATGAAATGCCAAAAGAAAAACTTCTAGTTTGTATTCAACTAAAAAACTGTACTCCCAGTACTTGATCGAACTATATGCATTAAAGTTGTAATAATCTTGGGAAGAAGTTTGTATAAAATTGATAGTAAAAATTCAAGTAAATTGGCAAAAGAGTAAAATTAAAGAATCGCATAAACAACGGTCCTCTATCCGTATTGAGGGCCTGATCACATAAAGAAGATAAAATATGAAGCAACCATGAGTTTTATCACATAAATTCAATCATATGTGCAACTAATGTGTCTAAACACATTAGTCAAAACTATGGCTCCTTTTATCCATTCCAAATTAGTCTTCTTTTCAGGATTTCAGGATAAATGACTAAACTTCTGATGACTATACCCAAATTAGTCTTATTTTTAAGTAAACATTTACCTTGGGATAAACATGTGTGGAAGCTTAGTGTTGCCAAATGTTTGAAGAGAGATAAATCCAAATGTTTGATGATAATTCTGTGTTCTTCTATGATGTGCCTTGACATCAATAGCAATGGTATGATGTGCCTTGACATCTTGAAAGTATGTAGAGCCCTGCCCCGTTGAGTTCTAGCTAAACCTTCTTATGAAATAAGTCTACTACTTTATCATTAACCAAAACAAATAACCAATAAACCTATTAATCAAAACTAACATACCTCAAACAAGAAAAGTGAGTTTGAAGAAGGAAAAATAGTTCTGTAATGTTCTCTATATATATTTATGATGGGCAGAGAGTACATCATAGCACATGAGAATCCTACCACGAAATGAAATAGAAACAAAGAGAAGCAAAATAAGAAAATAAACTTAGCTAAAAGGTGATGATTATCGGGGCAGAGAAGGTACTCCCTGGATGCGGCGGCTTCGGCGGAAGAATTTTTGCCAACCCTAACTCTGAATCGAAGAGAGTAGAAACAGGAGCAATCCAGACTCGGCGGAAGGTTTAAATCCGGTCTCGCAGATAGATATCGAGGCCCATCTACAAGCTGGAACAGGAGCAAACAGAGCAAGAATTCGCGGTTAGCTTTCCTTGCGCCAAGCTACAATGACCGTCCAGCACTGTTTCAACGGCAAAGCAACAAGGGTCGTCGGAAAACCAGCGCAGGCCCAAAACGAACAACAAAAAACAAACGAGTAGTGCAGCAGAACAGTACCGAGAAAGTGAAAAGAAGAAAAGGGGCAAAAACTTGCAAAGGGGGAAAGAGCCGAATGAGCGGATGGATGGGAAAAACAAGGCCATCAAAGTTGTAGAAGAACAGAAACAAAGTCAGATGCGTGTCAAATAGCAGCTGCGTGTGGAACAAGGAGGAATTGTGTCAGCGGCGAATCCAGCACGGGCAATGAAATGGGGCGTTTTTTTTACTGGGTTGCCACACAGCCGGTGAAAAAAAACAGCAGCTTTCCCCTTTTGCAGTTACCGTTTAACAAGGAAGAAGGCGTTGCTACTGTAGCAACGGAACAGAACGAAAGATAACTTCCTTCCAACATTTATATATTAGGGAGATGTGAGGCTAGAAGGCTATTACTTTGACTCGTATTAATGAGAATTTACCGAATTTGCCGAATTGTCCTATTTTATGCGTGTACCAATTGAAGTATTTTGAATAGGGGACTACACCTCTTTTCTGTTACTTGTTTGATATTATATCTACTCACAATTAATAATTGAATTAACAACAGAATTGGAAAAGAATTAATTGTCATTAATTAACAACAGATGAAAATCTCGTTCCTAGCGCTCTTTGTCTATAAAGTTATGTCTAAGAGGCCGTTTGGCAACTCTCATTTTCGGCTTATCAGGCTTATCAGCCAACTTTTTTACCAAACACGTAAATTTTGCTTTCGCGCGCTGAATTGTGTGATAAGCAGAAAAAGTAAGGTTGGAGTTACTTTTCTGGCTGTATTGGCTGAAGTTACTGTAGATAACCATTTTAACTATTTTTATATCAGCAGAATCAGCCAATGCAGCCACTTCAGGCAGAACTTCATAAATCTCAGCAGAATCAGCCAAAACAGCCGATTTTCGTGCTACCAAACAGGCTCTAAATATGATAAAATAGACTGTATAAATAGAAAACAGAGAAACCTAGCTGAACTTGGACCTCTGCAAAAATCCGTCATCAACTTTCTTTGCCTTTTCGCACATTTTATTCATTAATCCTATATTGAGTTAAACTATCCATTATTAGAACATATTTTCTCATGTTAATTTAGGAGTGAATATTTTAAGTATTGTGTTTGTGGTTTTATGTATATACATGTTTCAGTTTTATTTTTCAATATTCGAGTACTTCACTAGAAATTTTATTAATACATAAGTGATCCTTAATTTTTTTTACTCAGACCCTAAAATTGTTAGGACCGGCCATGCATTTAGTCATTTAGGTATTTCATTATTAGTTTTTGACAAAATGAAGTTTATTATGATGCTATGGAATGAGTAAAATATTGATAATAATTAATTACATAATTTAATTCTTTGTAATGTTAAATACATTGAAAATTTAATACTCAATAGTAGATTAGGTCATCAGAGAACATATAACCTATGAAGCACGGATACTTCCCTAGGGTAGCGTATCGGCGTATCCGATACGTTCCCGTATCCGATACTCTAGGATACTCGTACCGTACGTTCCCGGGCCGTATCTGCAATTTCTAAAAGTTTCCATTTTTTTTTGTAATTTTTTGAAAGTTTCCGATACTCGTATCCTGACGGATACCCGTATCAACTTTTTTTAAAAAACAAAATCCCAAAATTTACTTAATAAAATTTTAAAAAAAAAAGAAAATCTAAAACTACATTTTACTTGGTAATCAAATAATAGGCCTATATGGCTATATCCGAATTAAGTCATTAACTCATACTCCGAATTGAGTACTTGCACTTTTAATTTCAAGATTGTAGTTGTTTGACTTATTTCTCATTTTAAATTAATGACTTATTGACTACATTTATATTTCGAGATACACTAGTGTATATGAGAAATATTATGAATTTATTACTAAGTATCTTGAAAAAGGAAAATGTTTCAATGCAATGAATGGGTAGAAATCATAGGATATTATATGTATGTATATATATATATTCAAAAAAAATCTATTTTTAATATTTATAAATAGACCCCTATAACTTTTAATATTTGTAAATACACCCCCATAACTTTTAATATTTATAAATATGTCCCCGTATCCGTATCCTACTTTTTTTTGTTTTGACGTATCCCCGTACCCGTTTCCGCGTTTCCGCGTTTCCGCGTACCGGTATCTGTGCTACATAGCATATAACTATATACTAGTTGTTTGGGCATGTAAGAAAAAAATAAAAATTCAAAATTAAGTCATAAATTGTGAATTAGATTGAAATGTCTAATATACGCTATAGTTATTAATTATTATGTTTTGATGTATTAGTTTTATATAAACATATTGAAGTCACTTTTTGTCATAAGTAATTAAAATGTGGTGTATTTAGGAAAAGAAAGATGTCGATTTCATCATTCTTTAAGAATCTGGATTGTTAAAGTGATGACAGGGTTAGGAACTTTATCTACGATAGTGCAAGATCAATCAAATTAGTCTCCTTAACCGAATTAGCCCACCACATTTCAACTTTTTGGATCTGCCACTGTCATCAAGATCAAACTTTTAACTTCGGGGGGGGGGGGGAGGGGGGGGGGGAGGTTGAGATGTCTACTATTTTATATTCAATTGTAGCGGCATTTTACATGTCTATCTAATTCGATCTCTATCGTCATTCACAAGTTGTCGTATGTGTCTCACAAAAAAAAAAAATGCTTAAAGTGAAAAGTAATGGCATGCAAGACCAAATGTTTTAGCTAATGACATAATCATATTGAATTACATAAGATCTTAGAAGTTTTTTGTTGATCTTTTAACAAAAGGTTACGTCGAGGTGAGAATCTATGTCGAGATAGACTTTATAATATCACCTACTTATGTGTGAAAGTTTAATCATTGTGTATGCTCAATGTTCTAAAAGGTGCTAAACGCTAGTCGGGCGCCAGTCCAGTGCCTAGGCGGGGACTAGTCAGAGACACATAAATTGTATTTTTATCAATATTTTTGCATAAATATGATAAGTAATACATAGTAAACCGGTAGTATCGTGTTTGTGTGTGCATGAAAAATATATACACGCGCATTAACACGAATGAATGATAGAATTGTCACATGCAATAATATATGATAACTGATCACTTAACTGCATTATGTTATAAATATTAAAAAATTATATATTTAAATAAATATACAGAAATATATATGTCGTAGTAGTTTTTATCTTAATATACAAGTATCTTTCTTCATATTTGTGATTAAAGTTGAAGGTACATATAAAAAGAAATTAAAAAACAAAAATTGTTCAACGAATCTAGATGCCCTAGGCGGTGATTAGGCGCTCTAGGTGGGAAACTAGGCGCCATAGGCGGCTGACTAATTCACCTAGGCGCCAAACCAATTAGTCGGAGCGCTTAGACAAAAGTCGGGGCGCCCGGCCACCGTCTAGCGCCTAGACAGGGACTAGTCGGGCACCTAGAATGATTTTTAGAACAGTGTATATGCTAGATAATTTTCTATGAATGATTTAAAACAAGTGTAATCATTGTCTATGTATGACAACACTTTTAATGTACAAGAATAAGATAATGAATATCGCACCAAATGTCTCATGTTATTTTGTGTACGAGTGACATATTCATTTTATTCCGTTTTATGTGTCTCTGTCAATCTGTCATGCAAAGAAGGTTAAACTTTAGACATGTTTATAACATTTAATACAAAATGTATATATAAAACTAACACATCAAAAATATAATAAAATATAGTCGAGGATTATTATGTTTATTGAATTAAAAAGCTCTATAAAGCAAGAGTTAAGAAGTGTGTATACTTTCATAATTTGTGGGGATGAAGACAAATAGGAAGGCCTTCAACAGGAATGGGCATGGGATCATATTGCACTTTCTCATGTGGTACAAGTAAGTTCCACCTAAATCTCATAATCACATTGTGTAAAAAAATTAGTATCTCCAACCGAGCAAATTCTTTACCAAGGCACATCCGCGGCCCTCCTCCAAAGGGGACATATGTGTATGGCGGATATCCTTCTTCAAATCTCAATGGATCAAAGTTCACCGGGTCTTGGAAAAAACTCTTATTGAGATGTGTAATAGGAGCATTTCCATAAAACTGTCAACATTCAAAAATCATAGGTTGAGCTACATTTAAATGATGATTATATTATTGTCGTTACTTTTACTACTCGCTCCTCTAGCTAATACTAAAAATTACGAGAAAATAAATATATATGGGAAAACAAGACGACTACTTAAGGCTGAATAAATATTACTCATCCGTCCCTTATAACTTAGTCATGTTTGTCCGACATGAAGATTAATAAAATAAAAACTGTGTGGTTAAAATTTGTGTAAAGGAGAGGGAAATATCAGAACTACGTAATACTCCCTCTGTCGCCCAAACATTGCCCCGTTAAGTTTGTCTCATACCATATTTGGTAACATTTGGGTGGTTACAGTTCATGCTTATTTTATTCACACTTTATCAATTCAATACTGACCACACAATTCTACTTTTTCTTAAAAACCACACCACACTCCTTTGTCCCAAACTTAGGGGGGCGGAGGTAGTAATTGATTAAAAATAAAAGTGACAAAGTATTTGAGATAACCAAAAAAGGAAAGATGACAAAGTTTTTAGGACGAAGAGAGTATTAGTTCTATATGTGCTTGTGGAAATGATATGCATCTTCAATTTGTTGGATGCTTGTAGTGCATCTCTCTGGTTAAATCATTAACTGCGTAACACACACAGTGGGAATGAAATATCTACTATATTTTCATAAACAACAAGCAGTCACAATTCTAGATGTAGCCGCCCATCGCCCCATACTACTACCTTGTTTAATGTCAAAAAATTATTGTTATACAAAAAACACACATATTAAAATAGTTGTTCTCTCATAACATTTGGATGTTAACAAATATGGAGTATATTTTAATGATACTTAAGTAGTGCATATGTACTTTGATGATAATAAATGTACATTGTACTTTTATAATATATTTAAGTAAATGATTACATTATATGGAGTATTATATTATTATTTGAAAAAAAACGGTATGGGGCGGTCACTTTGCAGAAAAGAATAATCATCCCCGATTTTTGTTGTTGCCATCTAACAAGAAAAACCTCATATTATCTTTAATTACATTTCCCCCACCAAATATAGTATAAGAACATAACAAATGGTGACCCTCATAAGACTATTAGGTTAAATAAGTAAATTGACACAATTTAAATGTTTGACCAATTGCTAGCTAGTTACTTTTACACCAAAAGTGTTGTGTGTGTGCACATTGCAGTTTTAGAGCAAATGATGCTCTCTGTGGTTAATAAGAAGTCAAAAAAGGAGGAGATCTTTTTGTTCACAATGGAGCTCATTTATGTTTTAAAAAAGATTGTGTATGTTGACAATGAATTTCATTTTATTCATAAAGTTGTCACATTTTTGGCATTTTTTGTGCTGTTAAATCTAAAATATAATGTGCTATATGAATATATTGAGTATTATTATTACCTTCCATCCTTTGGGAATGTCATAACCTTCATAGGTGATGTCCTCAAGTGCTTCTCTGAAGGTTCCAGAGACAGCGGGATACAACCTCAAAACTTCAGAAGCAACATTCCATGAATACTTCATCTTTTGTATGTCATTCCAGTTAAGAAACTCACCAACTTCTTTTGATGCTGCAATCTCTCTTTGCTCTTGAAGGACATTCTCGTAAACATGAGGCAACTCCCCCAGCTTCTTTACGAGTAGGGTGATAGTTACACTGGAAGTGTCATGGCCAGCAAACAAAAGCAAGATTATATTGTTCACTATGCATAACTCAGACATGAAGTTCCCATCATCGTCTGGTGTGAGAAGCAAATGTGAGAGAAGATCATTGGCGGTTGAAGCTCCATTCTGCCTCATCGTTTCTCCTCTCTTTTTCACTATCACAAGAAGCTCTTCCCTTATTAAACTAGTGGCTCTTGTTGCACGATAAAATCTCGTCCCTGGGATATTCATGGGTGGTGATATGACTCCCTTGAGGAAAATGTTGAATAGGGCCGAAAGCTTGTTTATTTGGTTTGGGTCTTCAACACTCATGAAGAAGCGGCAAGCTAGTTCGAAAGTATACAACCTCACAACATGGAACACTTTCAGTGTCTTGTCACCTTAAAACACACCAAAGATTCTTTTTTCAATATGTGTGTGTATATGTATGTATGTATGTATGTATGTATGTATGTATGTATGTATGTATGTATGTATGTATGTATGTATGTATGTATGTATGTATGTATGTATGTATGTATGTATGTATGTATGTATGTATGTATGTATGTATGTATGTATGTATGTATGTATGTATGTATGTATGTATGTATGTATGTATGTATGTATGTATGTATGTATGTATGTATGTATGTATGTATGTATGTAATTATGTATGTATGTATGTATGTATGTATGTATGTATGTATGTATGTATGTATGTATGTATGTATGTATGTATGTATGTATGTATGTATGTATGTATGTATGTATGTATGTATGTATGTATGTATGTATGTATGTATGTATGTATGTATGTATGTGAGGAAGCAGTCCAACCTAGCTGGTCGCCGACTCACTCTCCCTTACGGGAGGTCCCAGGTTCATATTTTCAATGGAGTGAGATTGAGCCAAGTTTATCCCAGGCCCCTAAACCCCTTGCCCCCGACGCCCCCCGCGGTAAAAGTAAATGTATGTATGTATGTATGTATGTATGTATGTATGTATGTATGTATGTATGTATGTATGTATGTATGTATGTATGTATGTATGTATGTATGTATGTATGTATGTATGTATGTATGTATGTATGTATGTATGTATGTATGTATGTATGTATGTATGTATGTATGTATGTATGTATGTATGTATGTATGTATGTATGTATGTATGTATGTATGTATGTATGTATGTATGTGAGGAAGCAGTCCAACCTAGCTGGTCGCCGACTCACTCTCCCTTACGGGAGGTCCCAGGTTCATATTTTCAATGGAGTGAGATTGAGCCCAGTTTATCCCAGGCCCCTAAACCCCTTGCCCCCGACGCCCCCCGCGGTAAAAGTAAATGTATGTATGTATGTATGTATGTATGTATGTATGTATGTATGTATGTATGTATGTATGTATGTATGTATGTATGTATGTATGTATGTATGTATGTATGTATGTATGTATGTATGTATGTATGTGTATGTATGTATGTATGTCTGCATGCATGTATGTGTGTGTGTCTGTGAGTATGTGTGTATGTGTGTATGAGAGTTCAAATAAAAGGAGCTTTAACGTGTAAAATAAAATAAGAATTAATCTGACTATTACAAATTATTTATCTGATGCACAATAATCCTATCTAATGCATTTCTAAAGAAACCTTATCCGATGCACTTCTAATATACTCTCATTATTATCTTCTATTTTTTTTCACCCTAAAATAATCTCTTTTTCCCTTTTTGGCGAGAAAAATTGTGGTTGAGAGCATTTCTTATATCTTTCTTTCTTCTTTGCACAACTTACCACACAACATTATACAATTCGTAGTTTCTTATCTGCGTGGGAAAAAACTGGTAGATTATATTGAGACAGAGGGAGTATTATTCTTGTTTGAAGACTGACACTAATTTATCTAGATTCAGAAAATATATAGAATAAATTCCACTTTTGGCCCTACTAGTTTTATCTCAATCGCACATTTAGTTCATGTCTTTTGCTTTGTACAAATTTGGTACTTGACTAATGTTTCTTGATCACTTGTAGATCTTCTATGACGATTATAATCACAAAAAGTACTACCACAAGAACCATATGTGGGTGAAAACACAATAGACATGTATCAAAAGTGATAAGAGCCAAAGATGTGGATGTATTGTAGAATTAGTGTGATACTTTTAAGACAAAAAGTGGAATTTATTCAAAACCATATTATCTCAGTTGTTAATTAAATAAATGCAATAAGTTTAATTTATGTTATTCGGTCATATGTTCTACTTTGACTACATTTTATTTATTAATGTTAATAAATTATTTTGAAAAAGTATTGTTAAAGTTGTCTCATCACAAATTGTCAAAATTGTGTCTCAAAAACTTGAAAAATAAAATGTTTTGAAATTGACATGTTTATAACTTTATATAATTCCTACGTATTTTGAGTTTTGACCCGTAGTTTTAAAATGAGGTGTGAAGGCTGACCGTGCCAGTGAGTGTGAAGATGCTGCTGCGTGACCAAATCCATAGTTTTGATGTACAGCTGCTTGAGAGCCGCCGGGCTTACGAAGTATGACATCAGCTTCCTCATCTGCTTCCCTTCCTCGCCGGCGCTGGTTGCCAGGCACACTCCCAGCAGCTTCTGCACGGAAGCCGGCCACCACGTCGCCACCAGCTTGTTCTCGTTGCTGAACAGGAACTTGTTCCCGGCCGGCCCGCTCAGCACAACCACCTTCTCGCCCATCAAGCTGGTCTTGAACACCCCCGACTTGTATTTCCTCACTCTGTCCTCCACAAATTTCTCCGACCTCCCTTCCCGGCTTAAGCGCAGGAACTCCAGAGATTCGCCGATCACCGGCCATCCCAAGCTGCCCGGAGGAAGATTCCGGGATCTTTTCTTGGTGTTGTAGGTAAAACGGGCGGTGGATAGGATGAGAATAGAGGCCAAGACTATTAGAACGCCTATCAACATTGAATCCATAAGTGTAGGATCGCTTCTAAGAATTTCATCCCAACATGGAGGAGGCATGGAGGAGAAGATATGGAGGCATGGAGAGTACTACCTCACCTATAAAAAGGAAGCTTATTGTCATCATATCAAAAAGCTAAGGGAGAAAATTGTGTGTAGAGTGTATAGGTTTGGGGATGGGTTTTTGGTATTGAGAAGGCTTGACTCCTATAATTCTCATCGAGAAGAATATTTCAATTCCAGTGATAATAGAGCAAGGTTGTACTTTCCTGACAATCTTCTACCCGAGTATTTGTTTTTTGGGAAAACTATCAAATAAGCCCCCGTACTATACCGAAAATGTCGATTAGGTTCTCGTACTTTACAAACACTCAATTAAGTCCTCGAACTATTAAAAAACGTTCAATTAAGCTCTTTCGGTCGGTAAGTAACCGGTTTCCCGGTTAAATGTAACCCGTTTCCCGACAGCCGCCGTTGCTGGGGTTCGAGCACATCGTCGCCGTCGTCGCCGTTTAACCGAGAAACCGGTTACTTACCGACCAAAAGGACTTAATTGAACGTTTTTCAATAGTTCGAGGACTTAATTGAGTGTTTGTAAAGTACGAGGGCCTAATCGACTTTTTCGGCATAGCACGGGGGCTTATTTGATAGTTTTCCCTTGTTTTTTATATATAAAAAAAATCTACTGGCCACAAAATTCTTGTTGGTTTTGTGTCTTTAAGCCAATTTCACATTCATGTGGGAGGATTGTTGAAAAATTAATATTATGGTCATTTTGAAAATATAATATGTAAGGGACGACCCACGACTTTATTTTTTATTTTAATAAGACTTAGGGAGTGTTTGCAATAGCTTAAAAAAAACACTTCTCAGCTTTTGGCTTAAAAATAGAGTTATTTACTAAATACTACCAATTTTTACTTTTTCTCGGCTTGCGTGTGAAAAGTGCTTTTCCCTTTTCTATTACACAAAAAGCATTTATTTTACCAAACACTACCAACTTTTACTTTTCAAAATCACTTTTTTCTCAAACACTATCAACTTTTACTACTAATCACTTTTTCCTTGCATCTCCAAAAGTGCTTTTTTTAAGCAGAAGCAGTTGCAAACACTCCCTTAGTCCTAACATATTGTATTTTGTGAGATGAACGTTTCCATAATATATGTGCAAAACCATTTAGAAATGAATGAGAAATTATCCTCCAATGTAACGTTCGTGGATGACTTGTTTGGCCCGCACTGCCGCTTCTGTCGTCCAGTTGCTACTTGTGTTACACGTAAATTCGTCTTAAGGAGACAACAATGGTTGGACTCTGTTCTATTTATTTCTTTTTATTTAATTAATGCATGCAGATTTATTGAATTTTGAATAACATCTCCTTTAGTTATAAAAATAACAAGAACAATAATTACAAATGAACAATGTTGAGTCGCTAATGAAGCAAACATTTTAAACTCCAATTGCATATTTGTTGGTTTTATGGGAAACCAACACCACCATTTGATGTGAGAGAACATAATTGACCGAAGACTAACCGCTCGACCTACTGGCATCATGATGTGATGCATCGTTGCGCTCACTAGTGAGGCTCTACGTTGCCGTAGTGAATTGTCGCCTTGTAGGAATGTTCCACATGAATCTACCTTTATTTCGAAAATATAGAGTAATTTGTTCCCTCACTTGTTTTCTCCTTCTGCCTTGTGTTCTATGTTCGTTTTTTTTCCTAAGCCGCCGTTTGATGTGGTGATTCTTTTAACTGGGATTTACTTAATTCAATTCAAGAAATCCCTAAGGCATGTAGGATATGGTATCCGTCGTTTCTTCGTGCAGCTGCTTTGAGCTAATCAAAATCGATCGTTGGCCTGGTTTTTCTTCTAGCGGCTAGAGTGTCCATTGTTTTTGTAGTTTTTTGTCGAACGATACAAGGAGGGAGGTAGAGATTGTTCGCGAACGTGAAAAGGGGACGGTGAGAGGGAGTGGTGTAGGGCAGGAACTGGATTCAATGGAAGAGTTGGTGCACCAATGGATGAGTCGGAGACATCGTCCACCTTCAACTATGACAAAGACGACGAAGACGAAGCTTTGCTGCACCGATGACATCGATAGAGCTCTTCGGAGATGGCTATAGAGCTCTGGAATATTATGGAGCTCTACAAAGACACAGACATGACATGTTATGCCATTGCAACTCGTCCTCCGCCGCTACAACTCGTCTTTAGTTCTTCTCTTTTCTTCTCGTCTGCAACCCTATCTTCTTCGCCGATTGGAGGTTGATTCGAAGGTGGGTTAGGGTTTCATGGCAATGGCATTGTGGATGAGGATCGGGTGCGACGGCGATGCGACGTTCCAGGGTGATTGCAGAGCGACCGAGGTTCCAGGGCGGTGGCGGTTGCTGGAAGAGGGCTTGGGAGGATGGGTTGGAGATAAGGGCTAGGGTTGACCTACTACTAGTGGGACAAGGTTTGGTTGGTGGGGCGGGGTAAAGCTGGGAGCATGGTGGAAGAGCGGCACGATGATGGTCACTGCCCTGGTGGGGTGGTAGCCGCCGACGCGGCGATGGTGGTCATTGTGTCTGATGATGGTTATTGTCACCGCTGACAGTGGTCATTGTCATTATCGCTGGCGGTGGTCATTGTCAATGTCACCGGCTGGATCGGTCGACTACGGTGGTCACTGCTTCGAAGGTTGATGCGTTGGAGGGTCACTATATTGGGTCAGATCACTACCAGATAAAGTCACAAGGAATTATGAGCAATTTAGAAACTTTAATGAGAATTTTAACATAAATTATCTTTTTTGCTCAAAAGCTTTATTTTAGTAATATTGGTGGATAAACCCTATTTTATGTACTAATTTTTAGTTGAATTTCGCCAACAATACATTCATGGTATGAGTTTGTACTACTATTATAGTATTATATACGGAGTAATTGCAAAATATTTTTAAACAAAAGTTCCTCCTATAAGGTCACATCAAAAAATTGATGCGCAAAGTAAGGGTCTGTTTGCAACAGCTTCTGCTTTTAAAAAAGTGCTTTTTTAAATGAAATGGGGAGAAGTGATTAAATAAAAGTTGATAGTGTTTGAGAAAAAAGTGATTTTGAAAAGTAAAAGTGGGTAGTGTTTGGTAAAATAGGTGTTTTTTGTGTAATAGAAAAAGTAAAAGCACTTTTGTCGCGTAAGCCGAGAAAAATAAAAGTTGTAGTGTTTGGGAAAATAAGTGCTTTTTTAAAGCCAAAAGTTGAAAAGTGCTTTTTTAAAAGCAGTTGCAAACCAACCCTAAGTAAGCTTGCCGATTGAAAAAATGAACGGTAGAGAAAAAAAGTATGAAGTCAACTTTCTATAAAACGTGGCCGACTTTCTACGGTGGTGCATCTTCCATACATGTGCACTAAGGCTGAAATAAGTATTTGGTGGTGCCTCTTCCACCCATATATGTGCACTAAGGCATACCGCTAATTCTTGGGTTTATTTGTCAAAAAGATGCGGATTTCACCGTGCCTAGTGAGAGTTCTCGAATTCGAAACCCGCTAGGCACCAATGGAGTGATCGAAGGGATCGAAACTCAATGGAGTGAATTTTAAGCCTGATTATTTCAGGCCCCCAGCCCCCTCCCCCAGACCCCCCTGGAGTAAAAAAAAATGGAGTATCATCAAACCATAGGTAAAAAGAAAAGAATCCTTATATCATACATCCGGGTGTATGTATATCCGGCACAACTAAAGAAGACAACCCAATAATTAATACTTGCCAAAAAAATTTGGGTGTCATATTTATAATTTTAGTGAGAAATTACGGCTTCCTTTAAATGGGCAATAGATTATTTTTAGTGACCATCTTATCTATTTTATTGAGAATTAGGAGGCTAATAGTGAGTGTCACGATCTCTGCTTCATATCTTTTAATTCTTTTTAATTTCTTTTTCTTATTTTTTCGTTTATAAGAACTTATTAAATTATATCTATAATACACTACTATGAATTTCAATATGCAAATTTAATATAATTTGATACTTTTGAAATATACAATACAAAATGTTCATTGATATGAAAATGAGCATACATAAATTACAAAATGTTCATTGATATGAAAATCGTAAAGTTTGTTAGTTTAACATAACGACTTTCATTGAGCATCAAACATACTTTATTGAAATGAAAATCATGGTTTCTATTAAATGAGAAATAATGAAGTTTTAATAAGCATCAAACCTATTATATCGAGTATTATTGAGCATTGTGAATTCTCTTCATAACTTCTGATATACTCTTTTTCTTATTTTTTTCTTTTATATAATTTTCTAAATTATATCTATAATAGACTCCTATACATTCCAATATACGAATCTAATTTAATATTAAACTTTTAGAATATGCATCAAGTAATTTTATTGATCATCAAAATAGTTTCATTGAGCATCAACTTTCCTCTATTGAACATTGAAACTCTACAATTGAGAATAAAATTTCTAGACCTATTGAGCATAAAAATTTTCATTAAATAGTCAGTCGTAATAGTACTTATCTTAAAACGTTATATTGATATACATTTCGTGTAAATATTATACTCATTAGGTATATCATAAAACTCTTTTTTACTCATTTTATAATGTTATACCAATGCTCATTTTTTTTAAAGTGATGCTCATATATGTATAACACAAAAATCATTTCTATAACTCACACATGTAACATAATCATTACAAATAATTTAGTATAAATCTTTCTTAACATTAAAATCTCTAGTATGCTCAAATATTATGAGAATACATAACCTATGAAATGAACAAAAAAAAATTAAAATGAATAATACACCAATATGAATGGCTATGTCATTTTAAAATGTCTTGTGTAATGGTCAGTTTAAAACGAGTATTACACTAATATCAAATGAGCATAGATAACTTACGAAATAAGTATCGAAAAATTTAAAAACTCATTTAAAATCTCTAGTATGTTTAAATATCAATTTGTGTGTGTTCAATTAATATTATATTCAGGTGCAACAAACAATAAGATATTTCATGAAAAGAGGAATGAATTTTCACTCCGAATTTTTTTTAAACAATTGGTAGACAAAAAATGTACTCTACTTTTCCTTGCTTTCTTTGAACAATTTAAGTTCCCGAAATGGGACTAAAAAAGTTCGAAAATTCCAAAATAGGACTGTCATGTTTTTATTCCCAAAATAGGACTAATTACTGCCAAATTTGGAAAATACTGCCATTTTTGAAGTCT